TGTCACGGTCTCTGCAAAGGACAAGGCCACTGGCAAAGAACAGCAGATTACTATTCGGTCGTCGGGTGGACTCTCAGAAGATGAGATAGACAAGATGGTCAAGGAAGCTGAGATGCATGCCCAGAGGGATCAGGAGCGGAAGGCGCTGATTGATATCAGGAACAGTGCAGACACTACCATATACAGTATTGAAAAGAGCTTGAATGAATACAGGGACAAGGTCCCCAAGGAGGTTGCCACAGAAATTGAAACAGCTGTTTCCGACCTGAGAACAGCAATGGGAGGCGATAACATTGATGAAATCAAATCAAAGCTTGATGTAGCAAACAAGGCTGTTTCTAAGATTGGACAGCATATGGCCGGTGGTGCCGGAGGTGGCTCTGAAGGAGGTTCTCAAGGGGGAGCCACTGAGGCCGAGTATGAGGAAGTAAAGAAGTAGATTATCTTAGGGAACATTGAAGATGGCACGTTGGAGTTGGTTTAGATCTCATTCTGTTGTCGAAATGAAAATTTTCTTTGTCAACCTCCTATACTCTCCCTTAGTATGCTGTATAACTAAAAAGTTGATGTGAACTGCTTTACTTCTGAAATTTTTTGTTCTCCTAGTAGAGGGGTGAGACCAACCTCATTATGATTTAGGCTATAGTAGAATTTTTGTGATCTCATTCTCAAGGTCAAAGTGAACCTTGCGTTGTGTTGCAAAAATAAATTACTTCATGAGATGTAGAGTAGATTGTATGACTAGATTACCCTTGCCTTTTAAGTTTCTTTTCTGTGGCATGTTTTTCTTGGGGGATTTTCAGTGTGATTGAGCTCCTAGTGTGACAGTAGTTAATGTAATGTTGCCTGCTGAGGTATCTCCTCGGTTGTGGTTTTTTTCTTGAAAGCTAAAGTCAGCGTCAAATTAGGACAGGGAGTACTTATTATAAATAGTTTTTTTAATTGAAAAGATAGAGATTTTTGTTCGTGAACTCGGTGTAATTATATTGATTCAGACAAATTATAAATAATCCTTTCTGCTACAAATAGTAGTGTGGATGCTCATTTGCATCCACTGCTCTAGAAATATAACCTCCACTATTATCCGTAACTTTTATTACTTCACTAATGTTTGTAATTCTCATTATGTATCTATAAGCTCAATGTTTAATACAATATTCATAGCATCCCTTTGTATTATTTCAATGCAATCCTATGAATACAGAATTTGGACATTATATTATGTACGCTTGGAAGAAATAAGAAAAGCTCAACTCTATTGTTTCTCTTATTTTTATCTTTTATATTGTTACCTTTTAGCTTTGATTTCTTAAAACTTTTTACATTATTAAGTCATACTTATCGTAGATATTTCCATATGATTAAAACTCAAAGCTTGCGCGATTGTTTGTACTCTTTATGAAAATAATTTTTAAAAATTTATCACGATTAATAGTTTTAACTTAGAGCTAACTTAATACCTCATGCAGAAGCTGTCAAATGAGAAGTAGCGGAAGTCCATCTTAGCTTTCTAGGAATTATTATGCAAATATATATATATATATATATATATATATAAATGTGTGTGTGTGTGTGTGGAAAGGTATGATGATTATGAGTGAAGAACATCATAACTGAGATCTCATTGATAACTGATCAATTCTGTTATTATGACAACTGTTTGTTATATCCGTTAATTAATCATTTTTATTTGGTAATTGGTGCTTATAATTTTTTGGGTGGGGATGTTCGACACCTTCAGTTAGGTAAAAGCCTAAAAAGCAAGCGGGAAAAAATAATAAATAAAATTGCAACTCTTCCAAGAAACAAAATGGGTTCAATGATTAAAGATGATCACTGTACAAATCCAAACTAAGTTGCAAAAGGATCAAGAAAATGTAAGATGTATATTGTGATATACAACAAAACTAGCTGATCCTAGCTAGAATTATTTGCATAAAATCTTTTCAAAAAGAAGAAGCAAAGGACTAATTCCCATGATTGCATCTTAGAACAGGAAGATATCAGAGGGATCACAGCAACACTCGTCTAGGAGGCAACAACAACATAACGCTGCCAAGCTGCAAGAGAATTACAATAGGAGTAAATCCAATGTAGAAGTAGCTAAAACAAACAAAGATTGCTCGTCTATTAAATATGTAAAAAATATTTATACATTACTACTATAAAATAATAGTCGGTAAAACCTAATAATCAACGTTATATTTAAATAATTGTTACTATAATATTCCATAAGCTCAAGAATTCAAATTTATTCAACATATTTATGCTATGTTCTATATAATAAACTAAACTTTTCACTTTTCAGCTGTTCTCTCTACATAAAACCTCTGTTTAATTATATGAAAGGGAGAAGCAAATCAGTTTAATTAGGAGGCTAATTATGCTATTACCATCCCTTAAGAAAACCTCTGTTTTTACGAGGTGGAGGAACAGCATATGTTGGCGGTGGCATCACTGGAGGGGGAGGACCCTGATAATAACCTGCCACCAAAATTAAACAGCATTACGTACAAGATCAATAACTAAAAGTAAACAACACAAGTGACATTCCCAGACTGTAGGTTTTTGTTCCCAAAATCATTATCTAGATCTGAAATTTAAGCATTCTAAGAGATATTACCATGTCAGTAATTAGGTTCTTAATTTAATTTTTGTTCATATTTAATGAATTTCTTGAAAAAAATACATTAATACAAATACAAAAATTGGACTAAAGCTATTGAATTCGGTCTAACCCAAATATTTAGTCGTTCAGCATCATCGCTCCTGTCTCCACCATTCATTTCTTCACAATGCATTTTTATCTTCTCACTATTTAAGAGAACTTGCAACCATTCTAGTCATACAAGACCTCAAGTAAAATTGCATTACCTTAAAATCACCGAATATATGTATCAAGTTGCCATCATTGAAAACAGAAGATCGATGTTTAGAACATCCAGTACAATAATGTGTTTATAATCTAGCACGACGAACAATGTTAAGGCAGCATCATGTACGAAATATTGTTACACCAACAACTCATTTGTCATAATATATAGACCTACTTAAGTCAAATACATAGAAGTATGCAAATAGAATAATTAAGAACGACTATAGAATAATATGCATCTACGTATAACAACACTTTCACTATAAAAAGCCAAACTTTTTCAAAACCAAATTTCATGTTATGTTATAATATATTTTCTTTCGTAACAACACTTCACCATAACATTCAAAAATATTCAGAACAAACAAAACTGTTATAGAGAAGTTTGACGGTATATAATATAAGTACCTTGGGCTGGGTATGGAGTAGCGTACTTTGGAGGCTTGTTCATTTTCCAAAATCCAAGAGCTAGAAGAGAAGAAAAGAGATGAGATGATACTCTATATAGCTTAAATATGAATGCAAGAAAAGCTTGAGGAGAAAGAGAATATATAGCCGATCGAGTAGGATTGTGGATATAGAAAAGAAGTGAAGATGGAAAAGACAGCTCTTGGATTATATATAGTGAAATAATGAGACAGATTTGAAATGTTTTATTTCTTTTTCCTTAATTAGTAGGATGATTGGATCAAAGGTAACCTCAGTGGTAGTGTTTCGTACGAATGAAGCATCTGGGGGAGTTGAACACGTACATGCTGAATAGGGACACGTGGCGACAGTACAAGGGCTTTGAATCGTCACTGATTTGCAATATTTTTTATTTTTCATTTATCCTATGTGCAATATTTTTTATTTGACATTAAAGGTTTATCGATAGGGTAAGTAGAGGTTAAAAAATTAAGATTATTCATTTTCAAGATCACTAGTGACATTTTGCTTAAACTTTTACTGCTAGTCAAAACTCGCTAATGGGCGTCCACAATAGGCCAATATTAAATTCAGTAAAATTTCACCAATAAGATTTGGGGAGGATAAAATATAAATTTTACACTTATTTTATGACAGTATAGGAGGAATTATTTTTGAAAGACCCCAGTTCAAGAGAACAACTGCAGACGACATATCGCCAATTCCGTCCACAATAGTCCACGTTGATGCCCTGGCATTGTACTCTAAACATATCTGCATTATCCTTGGACGTGCCCAAGCAACCTCAAAAGTGTTACGCCTTTGCAAATTGCAAATACACTTTTCAAAGAACACACTCAAAATTTGCACACAAAAAGTAAAAACTTCACAATACATGCTCCTTCCGTCTCAATATGTGGCGGTGGTCCGATTTCGAAAGTTACATTAAATATTTTAAATTATTAATTATCGTAATTTATAATATTTTTTATATAACATTTAAATTTATAAATTTTATTTTAAAAAATTTATGACACAACTAGTACTTCCTCCGATCCAAAATAAGTGACTTTTTGATTATTTTCATATTAAGAAATTTATCTTTTAACATTAATTAGCAATAAAATTGACCATATTAACCTTATTCATATAAACACTGCTAACACATATTCCAACATTATTTATTCTAAAAATAATATGGAAAAAAATAATAATCCCTTATGGTGTCGTAGCAAAGAAGAAGAAGAGTGCAGGTACAACTGGTTAATGCAGAGCTACGTGAAGCGGTGGTAGTTAGAGAATCATCTCCAAAGCACTAGACAAATGCGTTGAATTGGTCTTTGCGTTCACCAATAAAAAAACAAATAATTACTCCTCTGTATCTTATCTTTAATTAATGGGTTCTCAGATTCTCAAAATCTCACCTTTTGCGTCTTCTTCAATTTTCAACGCCACCCCATTCTTGAGATTCCAAGCCAAAACGGTGGTCACCATTTCTAAGACCCAATTCAGGTCAAATTCCCTCGTTTCCTCATCTGGGTTTGTTCCTTTAAGTAATAATAAGAGAGGTTTGAGTGGTGGGGTTGTTGCTATGGCTTNATTTCTAAGACCCAATTCAGAATCAGGTCAAATCCCCTCATTTCCTCATCTGGGTTTGTTCCTTCAATTAATAATAAGAGAGGTTTGAGAGGTGGGATTGTTGCTATGGCTGCTGCAACAGGAGGGTCCGTTCAGAAATCAGAGGAGGAGTGGCGTGCTATTCTCTCCCCTGAGCAGTTCCGTATTCTCAGACAGAAAGGCACTGAGTATGTTGTTTTGATTTCTCTCCCCTTTCCCCCCTTTATCTGTGTAATTGCAACAGTTTGAATACATACTATATGCACTCTAATGTGGAATAATATTTAAAGAATTAATCTTTTTTTAATATCCCAGAAACCCCACTGGTTTAGAACTTGTTGGATAATGGGTATGTCCCTATACCTTCCTTACAAATACCAAACCAATAGCAGGATTTTGTGTTCAAACTCGTTTGGGTGCCCCTAATCCACACATCATGTAGTCCCTTCGTTTCAATTTAGATGAGCTAGTTTGACTCGACATAAAATTTAAGAAAAAGAAAAAGACTTTTTAAAACTTGTGCCCTTAAAAGCTTAGGGATAAAAGCTTTGTGGGACCATGACATTTGTGTGGTTATAAAAGCTTCTCATTAAGGGTAAAATAAGTAAAATGAAAGAGTTTAAAGTTTAATTTTTTCCAAATTTAAAAATGTGTTATTTGTTTTGGAACAGACTAAAAAGGAAAGTACCTCATCTAATTTGAAACTAGACCACCAAATCTCTGGGGCAAATTTTGAAGAATAATCTTAAAATATGTGTATGAAGGGAGCCTTGGCGTAACTAGTAAAGTTGCTGCCATGTGACCAGGAGGTCACCGGTTCAAGTCGTGGAAACAACCTCTTGCAGAAATGCAGGGTAAGGCTGTGTACAATATACCCTTGTGGTCCGGCCCTTCCGTGAACCCCGCACACAGTTGGAGCTTAGTGCACCGGGCTGCCCTTTTTTTAATCTTAAGATATGTGTATATATAGTAGTATATATTATGAGGTACCTCCATTAACTCTACATCATGCCTTTGTTAATCCTGTGGGGTTTGTAATTAGGAATACTCTAGTGGTTTTTATGGTGTTACTCATTTTCTTATTAGTATAATTTTGCTTTCATTTTATTGTCATATAAGCTATAAAAAAAATCTGGTTTAGTTTCTTTATTTAAATTTATTGGTTGATGATAAAATTAGCAGTTATTACTGTTGGTGCAAACTTATTGCCTATGACTAGATGTGTAATGTTCAACATTTTTAGGTTTACTCTCTCCGTGTGGAGGGTTACGGATGGTCAGTTTAGGCGATAGTTACCAAATTCATGGCCTAATTTGCATGCTGAGTTCTATTTTCCTTTTTCGTTGATTCAAGTTTTCTGGAGCTGCTGTTCTTATTTTAAGCAATGCTTGTTATTTCAATTTACTTTTTAGCTTGTAAACTGATGTCAGTAACCTGTTTTAGGCGCTTATATCTTTAAAAATTGTTGTAAAATTTCTAATTGCTAGAGACATTGTTGAGATTCTGCAGTTTTGTGACTCCACTCAGTATAATCTATGACTTCCACTGAACAATATGAAACTCAGTTTTTTTATTTATGCAAGGTCGGTGAGAAAGTGTGTTACTTGACCAAGTTTAATGAAGAATAGAATGCAAGTTTATGGAGTTACTTTCTGAATTCACCCAATCTCTTGCTGGAATGGCAAGAAATCTTGAAAATGTCAGATTTTTAATGAGATTTACCAAAAGGAATTGCTTTTTGATCTTGATAAGAAAGCTGAATTACTTTTGAAATGAATATTTGTCGTGAGAGTCATTTTTATTCAAAGAACACTAGATGGGTTCTGCTTATATTGGGGGTCACATAATCAATTGCAAAGGGTTCTTCATACGACTCTTGCTTTCCTTGGTTATTTGGTCCGTCCCTATCTCTTTCCTTTTTCCTTTAATGTTTGGGGGGGGGGGGGGAGGTGCGGCCATACGTTGCAGTTTAATGGTGCTTACTAGACTGCTTTAGCTCCCTTCAAGATTTATGCACCACTTTGGCATGAGGATTAACACAATTTTGTGATTCTTGAGGTTTAGCTTCTTCATATGTTACCTTTGGAGTGGACACCATTACATATTCTGGAGATTGCCAATGTTTGACATGCAGCGCTCAGCCACAAACTATGCACGAGACACAGCTCCTAGTTGTAGAAGGCTTGTTATCTGAGTATTATCACATTTGACTGTGCATAATTGGCAGAATCTCATCTTTCTAGTCGGATATGATGCGAGATACGAGCTTCTTCAAGGATAGTTGCTTGAATTTGTTCTCTTCGTATATGCTCAGCATGTCGATTTATAAAATTCTTCACCAAGCTTGTGATTCAATATATTTTATTTCTTCTACTTTGGACTCAGATATTCAATGGGGAAAACTAAGTAACTAACGTAGTTGATTAACCCTTATTAATTGATTAAGATAAACAATTTACTATATCGAATTACTTCACAGGTATCCAGGTACTGGGGAGTATGACAAGTTTTACGGTGAAGGAATCTACCAATGTGCAGGATGCGGCACTCCCCTCTACAAGTCCACAACAAAATTCAACTCAGGCTGTGGTTGGCCAGCTTTCTTTGAGGGTCTTCCTGGAGCTATTAATCGCACTGTGAGCATCTTTCTTTTCCTCCTGGCCACATAAATATGGTTTTGTCATTTTCTTAAACCTTTAGATCATAATGCTCATTAACTGGGAGAAACATTGTTTTTGTGGAAGGGTCATCACTCCCTCTAACTTTTGGGATAGAATATAGAATTCCTAAATGAGGTTTTGTTAATATGAATGCCCTCCCTGCCTTTGGGACCAGAAGTAGGGTCTAGTCTTTCGATTTTGGGAGGATACGACTCTACGTCCCTATGTTGGCACCTTCTTTTGACTTCCTTTTGCTATGTTCCATGTTTCTATTTCTTCCTTTCCTTTCCAAAGGATACTGGAGTAAATTGTTTGTCATTCTTGAAGCTATTTGGTGGAGTAGTTAATATTTTGAATTTGAGAATGAAAACACCAACAACCCCTCCAAATATTGACAAAGTAAGGGCTCTATGAAATCTTAATTCTAGTTTGAACCTTTTGCATTTATATTTGTTTTAATTGCTCTCCCCCCACCCCTCACGACCACAAAACCCTTAAAAGAACTGCTTAGTTTTTCTCATCTGTGATTTTATGATCGATCTCACATGTCCGAACTTATTGTTATTCATATTTTCAAAAACATTAGAAATATAGAAGGTATTCCTGTTGATTTTTCTTGAATGTTTTTGGTAATGAGATTACTTGTTCAATGTTTTTATGTTGTATGGTTCCTCCTAGCAATTTTTCTAGATTTGACATTGTGGCACTGTCTAATGTGTGATATCATGGTAC